TCAAAGCGAAAGTGAAATCGGGCGCGCGGATCCGAGGGCGTGGGTCCGTAGGGTGCGGCGGCGGCGGCGGCGGCGGGGTCGGCGCAAAGTTGCCCACGGGCGCCGGGACCCCTGCGTGGAGATCAACCCCGGGGCGAGGTGGCTTCCCCGCGGGAGGCGAGAACGTGGCAGCAGCCGCGGGAGCCAGGATGGCGAGGGCCCGCCCCCTCCCCTGGGTTGCATCAGAAGGGAGGGGAGTGTACAAAAGGAGTTTGTCCACGGTGGCTTTTTGGTAACATGCGTTCTTTCCCACCCTCCAGTTTCTCTCTTCGCCTCCCATTCCCTAAGAAGGGGGCTTGAGATAGTTCTAAGAAGATCTCAAGGAGGAACATAGATGGATAAAAGATGAAGGGGGCAGAAGAGAAGGAGAAGCTCGATTCCTGGCCTGTGTCCCTGGGCCAAGGCTGGGGTATTCTTGCCTTCTCCCTAATCGCCGGTAAATCTGATATAGGGATATAAAAGTCCTGTCATTAAGAAGGGAGAGCCATTAGGGATAGGGTATATGGGGTGGGAATTGAAACTGGTCCCCTAATTTCTCCTTCCAGCAGATGTCCGCCGAGGCACCCAGTCCTTTGACAACCGAGGGCAAAAAGCTGAAGGGTGGTGTGGTGGTGGATTGTAAATTTCCCTGTTGAAGGCAGTTGAGTTAGGAACTGGACCCGGGGAACAAAACTTTGGGAGATCCCAGGGCACCCTCGGGCAGGTTCCCTGCGGAGACACTGGGGCATTGTGCGAAGGTATCTGGAAACGAACTCTTCCACGGAGGAATCAGCAGCTGGCCTGGTCCCAGAGGAAGGATGGGCTGGGGAGGGTGTCGGTAACCCTGCTGACTGAGCGCCAGGCCTCCTGGAACCGGGTTCCTGAGTGTGGAGGGTCTTCATGTCCTGCTACATAAAAAAGAACACAGCCACGCCTGTACTGAAGGGGGCCACCAATGGCCAGTAAATAGGGCTGGTTAGGATACGAAGCTAAATTATACCTGTTGTGTAGGTGCACCATCTGCCTGCTCTGATAAAAAGATCTTTGAACTTCAAAGTCACCTTCAAACAATCACCTTTTATTTTACAGAGAAATACTTCTCTTCTCTCGTTTGGGACTTAACAATGGGGGCCTTTGATGAGTTCTGTCATTGTATTGCTTTGAGGTGTTTGAAAACTGATTCATTTTGCGGCTTCGAGTGGCAGCCATTTGCATCGTTGTCATTGGGGGGCGGGGTGGGGCTTGGAGTAGGGAACGCTGCAGTTTGCGGTGCTACAGCTTCCAGTTTAGTGCCTTCATCGTGAGGATTAAGCCTAGTGGTGAGAGTAAGTGGTGAGATCAAGGGCTGATGGAGTTGGTCTGCATCTGATCCTTGTACGAACACCTTAAGTTCATTCATTTATTTATGCAACAAACATTTGAGTGACTACTGTGTGCCAGCCACCATGTTAGATACCTGGCAGGTACAAAGAAAACCTTTGTCTGCTGTAGGCTCTAAAACGCTTCCAGTAAAATGTGGGCGAGAGAAAAACAAGCAGACACTAGCGTAATCGCTGTGGTGGCACATAAAAACTACAGTGAGGAGAAGGAGCCCCTAAGGTTTCAGGTTGAAGAAAGGGGCTTGGGAGTTTGGGGGTGTCATGTGATCAGAAATTGTGGGGGCGACTCAGAGATTGGCAGGTGTACCAGCAGGGGAAGGCATTCCCAAAGAGAGAACAGCCCACTTATAAAGGGTTTGAAATCTGTTCTGGGGGATGAGGGGTGTTGGGACAATAAAGGGACAGGGTAGAAGAAGCAAGAGGTGGGATTGGAGGGGAAACCAAGGGCAGAGCAGGAAAGATCTCTGAGAGGCATCCTGTATGTGGTCGAAATGTCGTCATCCCAGAACCTGGTAGGAAAAGCAGACTGGCCGTAGGGCGAAGAACATAACTGAGGCATGGATGGGGAGACCGGAGGAAAGACCATGGCCGTGTGCACCTGAACCAGGCACGCTGGTCCAGAGGGCAGGAGAGGGTGAATCCAAAAGCATGTGGGAAGGAGAAGTGGCAGTGCTCACTCTTGACTCAATGTGGGGGGTTGGAAAGAGGAGGGAGCAAGGAATCTCAGATGATATCTGGGTCTCTGGCTGAGCCACTGGATGAGTAGTGGACACAGCACTCACTTGTAAGGTAAATCTGGGCCAGAGGCAGGGGACAGCGGAGGGTTGGAAATGATAGGATGGCTGGGCATAAAAAGCCACCTCTGTCCACAGCTGTACAACAGTCCCTTTCAAGTCTGGGCTGCCAAGGGAGAAACATGGCTGGATCTGGGCTGCCAAGGGAGGAACATGGCTGGATCATGGTCACCACCACCTGAGCTGATCCTGAAAATGTGACAACTCTAAGGTCCCTGGAGACACCTAGGCCAGAGGGCTGCAAAGTGGGGACCCATAGACTGCGTGCAGTGACAAATAGAAAAATAGTGAAATTACTTGCCAACTTGCCAACATTTAAAATCTGAATGATTTCACATACAGACCTTGATTTCTGGTTTCCGTGGGCCATCATTCCCGTGTGGCGGTAATCCTCTGGAGCAGTGTTGGCACCCTCGTTGGCAGCTGGCAGGGTTTTGTTTTGCCTGGAGGCTTTGTTCATTTCTCTTACCTGCCAGGTGTTTGTTGAGTTTTCCTTCCACCCTTTTTTGGACCTTAGTGAGAAAGGGCACACGTTCTCACCTTTATTCTTCACAGCATTCTTTGTAAAGTACGTGTTCCAGTTTACAGTTGGGGAAACTGAGACTCAGAGTCAAGTCACTTGCTCATAATCAAACAGGACTCTGCAGACAGACTCTACCAACTGATTAGTGGTGTGTGTTTGTTTGTTTCTTAAAAAAAAAAAAATCACCACTTTGGACCCAAAGACTTGAAACTCAAAGCAAGAGGGGACTAGCAAAGCATAAAATGTCAGGGATGAAAGAGCTTTGACATCTGTGACCTATTCCAGAGACCTGGCTAGCTGAGCAGCTGCAAAAGCCTAAACCCACTGTACCAGGAGTTCTGACTGTAGGGTTCGGGTTTATCTCATTATAGCTGCCTTTCCTAGTTTCTCACTCCTGAGATTGTTGAGGAGAAAGATTAAGATCATATTTAGTCTTCCAGTAAATATTCAGTAAGTCCTACTATGTGTCAGGCTGACCATGTCCTGGATGTTTATTTTGTATAGGTTTACTGCTGTCCTTTCCACAAAAACATTATTCACAGTCCGACATTAGGTCTCTGCTGGCCTGGGATTCTGTTCTTCAGCTGGCATTAGATAACTGATGGACTTGTCACCTCTGTGTCCCCAGGGTTGGAGCAGTGCCTGGCACATAGTAGGCAAACTGAACATTGCAATGTGAAAGAATTCTGCTGTGTCTGGCTGTGGTTTCCTAGAAGGAAGCCTGAAGATACTTGAGGTTTAATCTTTCAGCCCGGAGACCTGTTACAATTGCAAATGAAAGGACATATTAAAGCTATTAGTAATGTTTATACCTTCCTGAGAAAGAGGAGCTTGGGCTGCCCAGGTGTCTGTTGGGAGATGGGGACTTAAGTACTAATGAGTTCATTTCCCATGTTTAATTAATCAAAGAGTAACTGCCAGTCAGGACTTCTGTTCACAGTAGGAAAAATTTGCCTCTTAGTTGACAGATTTCCAGCCCAAAGCAAAGAAACAAATCCCTAATTAGCCTGTATGACCTCATCCCAGGTAAATAGACTACCTCGGTAAAACTTTTTTAAATATTAGAAATAGCTTGTGGTTGTCTTCGAAGTTCCCACAGGGACGGCATCCCTCTCTTGGACCCTCTGGCCTAGAGGTGGACACTGGTGAGTTCTTAGCCTGCATTTTGCCCTGGACTAGGGTTTGGGGTATCTCAGTGAAGTCCAGTGGGAAATTGATGATATCTGGGCCAGCTGTGGAGGAGGAGACCCTAGTGGACATAAGGGTTTTTACCCCAAGAGCAGGGGTGCAGGCTTCTGCAGCTGCTCAGCTAGCCAGGTCTCTGGAATAGGTCACATGATGTCAAAGCTCTTTCATCCCTGACATTTTATGCTTTGCTGGTCCCCTCTTGCTTTGAGTTTCAAGTCTTTGGGTCCAAAGTGGTGAGTTGTTTTGTTGTTGTTGTTGTTGTTGTTTTAACAAACAACTCATCTTTTGGTTTACATAGAATTTTCCATTTTTTGCATTGGACCTAGAGCCAGGAGACATGGGTTTTTACCCCAGTATTGTACCAAATACTTGCACCGTGATTTGGAAGTCACTCAGTTTCTCTCGGCCTCAGTTTCCTTATTCTAAGGACAATGTCAGGAAAGACTGCTAGCTTTCACCGTACAAATCAGCGCTAATCCGTTGGTAGGGTCTGTCTGCAGAACACTGTTCAGAAGGATTCTGAGGCTACATCTAGGTTTATCAGGACGAAGAGGCGTGGTCCACTGGTAGTGTCTGCCATTAGCACTGGGTCAGGGGAAAGGCATATCATCCTTGGAAAAGATAAACTTTAAGATCCCTTCCAGCACCAGAGGATCATTGATTTTACGTTTATGAATTATAGATTCTGCAGGTGTTTGATCTTTTTCTGGATCAGAATCGCACAAGCCTTGATAATAGCATCGTGGGTTTTTTTTTTTCTTTTTCTTTTTCTTTTCCTTTTTTTTTTTTTTTTACTACAGGAAGATTGTTGATCGAATTGACAGTGATGGGGATGGTTTTGTCACCACCGAAGAACTGAAAACCTGGATCAAACGGGTGCAGAAAAGATATATCTATGATAATGTCGCTAAAGTCTGGAAGGATTACGATCGGGACAAAGATGATAAAATTTCCTGGGAAGAATACAAACAAGCCACCTATGGTTACTATCTAGGTAAGAGGTGCTACAGGAGCAATTACACAGCTGGGGCCCCCATAACAAGCTTCTCACAGGAGACTCTACTCTCTCATCATATACACTCCCTTTGGGGCGATGTCACAGCCTCTTAAGTAGAACCTCTTGTATAATATCCTCTGCTTACTGAGAGTGTACTGAGTTGCTTCCTCTGGGTGAAGTGGTAGGTGGTTAGTACTGGGAAGGATCGAGGGGTCTCATGAAAAATGATTTAAGTTGCTGCCCTCCCTGACCTAATATCTCAGGGACACACACAGAAAAAAGCAGAGAGAAAGCGTGTCTATGGTATAATTTCAAAATGCTGCCAAGTTTCAGATAGCAAAGACCAAGTGGGCTTGGAGCAGTCAGGGAAAGCATGGGAGCTGGGCCTTGACGAATGGGTTTATATTTGGAGAGAGACGAGTGGGGAAGATGGGTTCGCTGGAAGGTCAAAGGTGCAGCAATGCATTCAGCAACGAGCAAGGTTCGGATATAAGACACACTTGTTTGGGGAATGATGGAGGGGTGTGGGCAAAGCACAGGATGCAGACCCTCTGGGTGGATGGTAGAAACAACGAGGGGACAGGACTGTGGAGAAATGAAGACACACACTCATGGCCAGATTAAGGGAGATCTCGAAAGCCAGGCAGAAACATTCAGACAAAATGTTGTGGGACTAGGGAGCCTCTGCGTGTTCTAGATCAGAGAATGATATAATGAAAGCAGAGCTCAGCACAAGAAGTATGGCCTCAGTATGTTCTCAGGCCTGTGTTCTTCACCACTGCTGTAGTGCCCCGAATACACCATTAGGGCCTGGATTGTGGGGCGATATGAAGAGGCAGATACTAGAGGCATTCTGAAATAAACGTTTCAAAGAACTCGATAGGTCAGGATCTTTATTTGCACATGAAGAATGAGTGATCTGGAAGGAAATGCCTTCCTCAGCGGCCCGGTTTAAATGTCCGTGTGCCCATCCTGCAGGAAACCCTGCAGAATTTCACGATTCTTCAGACCATCACACCTTTAAAAAGATGCTGCCACGTGACGAGAGAAGATTCAAAGCTGCAGACCTCAACGGTGACCAGACAGCCACTCGGGAGGAGTTCACCGCCTTTCTGCACCCTGAGGAGTTTGAGCATATGAAGGAAATTGTAGTTTTGGTAAGATAAAAGAAGACCCTGGGCTGGGAAAAGACCAGGGCGAAAGCTGCACCAAAAATCTTGTCTCTTCTTCCAAAAAAGAGAAAGTTCTTCAGCCTGAGGGGAATTGGGGAAGGACTCTGGAGTGGAATACACTGGAATACCTGTCTACCTAGTGAATTTGGCAGGGCAGACTGGGTGCTGTAACAAAGAGCCTCCAGTCCTAACTGTTTATCACAAGTGAAGCTTAGTTCTTGCTTACACCAGGTCCACTGCAGTTGGTCCCAGCCAGTTGGATCTTCTGGGCAGTACTCTTTTAAGTGCTATCAGGTAACCTGGCTACTTCCCTCTTATACGCCACCATCCTGTGGCCTCAAGGTCATCCTGGCAACAACCAGCTGGCAGACAGAGGAAAAGAGGGAATGAGGAGAAGGCAATCTCCCTTTACTGCTCTGCCCAGGAAATGGCGCGCCCCTTCCCTTTACATTCTCCTGGCTCCTTGGTCTGATGAGACTGGGAAATACAGTTTAGATGTGTGCCCAGAAAGAGCAGATGGGTTTGATGGGCAACTAGGTAGTCTCTGTCCATTTTTCAGCTTTGAGGAAACTAGAAAAAGACTCTGAAATGGAACGCATTGGATTGTTAAACCATATAGGAACTTAAAGTAAAAACCATGGCCAGAAAGGATGCTTCCCTTAGTGGGAATCTTCAGAGGGCGAATGGGTCAGACCCTAAAGGTTTTGAGGGTCAGCTGTGCTTGTAAGGCCTCTGAGTGTAGTTGCTTTTCATAGTGTCTGATGGGGTCCCAACTGTCTTAGTTTTCCACGACAGTAAAATGATGCCATCACCTGCTTCCTGGGCAGATAACCCAAGCCAGTTCCAGCTGCTTTGATGCTGGGAAACAAGAGGCTAAAGCTTTTGTTTATAATCAGCCCTGGACTATTTTAGTTATGCAGTTGGTGGCTGGGTCCACTCTTGACTCATGCTTCATCCATGACCTTAAGGACTGGGCAGTGGCTCTAAGAATCATTTCTTTTTACTGCTCGACATCCACTCAGTGACAGCTGATTTGCTAAAGGACGGTGAAGATGGAGAATCAGCCACAAGTGGATTATGTGCCTCTAGATTGTCTCTGTTCTCAGGTTGGCTGTTTTCTTTGATATAGGATGCCTTTGAGTTGCTGCGACAATGGACGACAGTAAACTCACTTAAGTACTCACACTAGCAAAGTACTTAATTAAGAAGTCAAATGTACTAAATACAGAACATAATACATTCAGAAGTCAGATACGCTTTGATTTTTTAATTGACCACTGTTTTATATTTTTCTGACATCAGTTCGGTGTCCACCTAGCACCAGAATCTATCTTTGTGACCATGTGGTCCAGTGGTTCTCAAGCTGATTCCTCACAGGTACCCCAGGGGATGATTTGGTTGGATGGTGGAGATGCTTGGCTTGGCAGGGCTTCTCGATCTATTCAGAGCATCTCTGGGCTTGCAGGTACATTTTCATTTGAAGAGAGTGTTCTGCTATTAAAATTGTAGGATGGGGGAGGAAGGACAGAAACCACTGTCTGTTTTTTACAGATAAGAAATGAATGCCCGGGGAGGTAAGGAGACAAGTCAGAAGTCACCAAGCATTCATCCATAAAAGCCAGACAAAAGAGGACAATGGTCAGAACTCATAAGATGTACTGAGTACACGTAGCCATCTTGCATTCTGTGTTCCTCTTTGCTTCCTAGGAAACTCTGGAGGACATCGACAAGAACGGGGATGGGTTTGTGGATCAGGATGAGTATATTGGTGAGTGTGGCCTGAGGTCCTGCTCAGCTGTCCCAGCTGAGCCACATTCCTCCACCCACGTGTCTGGCTACTTTCTCTAGATGTCTTTTTGCAACAGCTGCAAGTATGTAGGTGTCACTCCTGTGACCTCCCAGTGCGGAGGGACTTGTCCCACCAGCCTTAGTGTACAATATCAGGGAGGAATTATTAGACCCCATTCAATGGAGAAGAGACCAGAATGCTGGCCCCTACCTCTAGGGTGGCCAGCAGTTGGCCCCACAGCTCCGAGAGGTACCCTTCATCACACTGTGTTGTTTTACCTTTGCAAGATGGGTTTTGAGATCCCATAGATTTACAGTGAGGCTAGAGCAGATGGTCTTAGGGAAAAGACTAAAATCAGACTGGGAGAGTGGGACCTGGAAGCTCTGAGTAGACACAGCTGTGATCAACAGAACTGTTTACATGCCCATGCCATCCACAGAAAAGCATTCCTTCTTAAAGGTAAATCCTTTCACAACATATTTTGGTTTTGACCCTTTCCTTGGGAATACCATACCTAGCATTTTGTTCCGAAGGACTCCACTTAAGCAACACGAAGAAGCGCATTTTCAGGTAGCTGTGAGCACTGGCTGAATGAGACTCGAACGTACCTGGGCCAGGACCCACCGGTGCTGCTTAGAACCCCTCCCGGCAGCCTGGTAGCCCTCCAAGCGAAAGGACTGGAGCAGGCAACACGGACATTTCCATTTGATCCTCATCAGCTGCTGCTTCAGTGCTTTAGCACCTGGCTCCAACTGCCACTGCCTTCTCATGACACCTCTTCTTTTCCCAAGTCTCAATAAGGTAAAAGCCGGCGAATCATTTGAGAGATAGGATAAATAGAATTGTTGTACACATATTAATAGAAGCAGGTAATTGCCTTTCAACTTAAAACCAGAGCCCAAGTTGCCGTCAGTCTCTGATCTAACGGTTGTATTACTTTGCCACCCCATGCCCAAAAACAAGGGCTTTCAGTAAAGAAGAGCAAAATTGCTTCTAATCATTAAGAATTATATTTGATCTAAGAAACCTAACGCTGGTCTCCGTCTGTGGTATTAACAGACAGGTAGCTCTCACCACAGTAATTAAAGCGATCATGGTGGCGCTAACTTTGTAGAATAACAAATGTTGACAACCTCGACATCAGTGCAAGCAGCAGAGCCTCCCTCTTGCCTGGTTCATATGCGAGGGTAGGTTCAGAGTCACTGACACCTTGGCGATGGAATTAGGCTGACAGAAAAGGCTGACTGGTTAAAACAGTGCAGCATTTTTGATTAAAGGTATGTGCTTTTCCTTGCCTTCCTGAACTCTGCACTGAAATAGTGCAAGGTCAGGGGCAAAACTCATTGAGTGCTTTTGCCTAAAAGCAACATTCCATTCTTTACACTAGGCAGAGAGGCACGTGGGGAACATTGTGCTTGAAAATTGAATTCCGAGCAATTTGCAGTGAAAGCTGTCCAATATATAGATTTGCCCAACAAATGACTTTATTTATGGGGGAAAGTTCTCTTCAGACAAGAATGAGTGGAAAATGTTATGATGTGGTGTAGTAGGCAGAGCACTGGACTTAGGAGTCCTGGATTCCCCACTTACTAGCTCTATGACCCTGTGGGAGTCATGTAATCACTATAAGCCTCATTTTCCTCATCTGTAAAATGGGAATACACCACACCCATGCTTCCAGGATTGGGTGAAGCTTGATTTAGCTAATGTATGTGACAACCCTTTCTCAAAAACAACGTCAGGTGTCGCTCTACCTGGTAGCTAAACCAAGGGTCTTGCCTCTCGTTTACCTTTATCTACCACCTGCTCCCAGCTGACACTTGCAAGCTTTGTTTCCATTAAAGAGAAACTGGGTATCTCTCTTTTCCAAGAAGATATGGTGACTTAGCAAATAATGCATAAACTTTGCCTTCTTTTTCCTTTCCCTGCCATTTTGTAAAACAAGGATCATGATCTGTCTTATAGAATTGTTATAAGAATGAAATAAAATGGTATATGCAGAAGCTCTTTAGGGATAATGTAAACAGTAGGAATGAACACGGTGGTTAAGACCATCGATTGTGCAGCCTCAAGCTCATATTAGCTGTGGCTCCTTGGGTAAAGCTGCGCCTCGGTGTTTTCGTCTATAAAGTGGGAATTATAATACCTACTTCATAGAATTATTATGAAAATTTTAAAAAATCGTATGTCAAATGCATTATACAGCATCTGAGCCATAGAAAGTGCTTGATGTTGGTTATTAGTTTTCACCGCTAGCTATAGTGCTAGTTTAGGTTGTACAGGGTTTTCACAGAGTGTGTCCACTTGATCTTCATAATAACTCTGTGATTTGTGAAGTATTATCTCCATTTTACAGACAAGGCAACTTTAAAACTCAGTCACTGAATTAAATAACTTAATCCTAGTCACTGAACTAAGCCTAGAGACTTAGATCATCTTTCATCTTCTGGCTCTTAAACTCAATTCTTTCTATTCTACCAAACTGACTTCACAGTGGATACCTCACTGCTTTATTCCCAAGAAACTGCCCGTCAGGTGTTTGGGTTAGGTCTCCCGATTGGTCATCACCCTTCCAAAAACCCAGGACATCAAGTGTTTCTGACTTACCTTCCCACTTGTCTTCATAACCAAGAACAACCTTCCCTTCCAGCGGATATGTTTTCCCATGAGGAGAATGGCCCTGAGCCAGACTGGGTTTTGTCAGAACGGGAGCAATTTAGTGAATTCCGGGATCTGAACAAGGATGGGAAGTTGGACAAAGATGAGATTCGCCATTGGATCCTCCCTCAAGACTATGACCACGCACAGGCCGAGGCTAGGCACCTGGTGTATGAGTCGGACAAAAACAAGGTATTTCACATTCTTCTGAAATTGATCCTAGAAGGGAGATAGTTTACATACGATTGGTTCTGTTTGCTTCTTTGTGAGAGCATTGGCCTGTGCCGCTGTGCCTTATTGACATTTTTCATTCTTGACCTACATTAGAGACCTGTAAACTTGACCCAGTACCATGATAACCCATGATGAGCTCATCAGGCCCAGGCATTCCCAGATGGTCTGCTGTGGCCACACACTTGCATTTACTCCCATTTCCTAGAGTTGCAGAACTTTGCGGTGGACAGGGAATGGATTTGAGAGGTACGCCCTGTGTTGCTGTAGGACCAGTTTGTTCATGTGCTTAGTCAGCAGATATTTATGAGACATCTGTGATATGTCAGGTATAAGGAAGCCCGTCCCCTTAAAACCCAGGCATCCTCAGGCAAGCTCACACTTCTAGCGCTAATGCCCAGCACTTCAATATCTATTGATACATAGCCAAATAAATAAGTGAAAAGATTTAGAAAGAAGCCCGGTCCCTTTCCGTTTTGATCATTGCTCCAAGTTCTCAGAAGACAATTGAGTTTAGCAGTCGGCCATAAAAGGAGAGTAGAATTCTTCAGGGCCCATTATGGGAATGCTAGCACTGCTTATAGACAGCTAGATTCTAGCTTCTGAATTCCTCAGGGACTTAACTGATATATTTTAGCACAGCTTTTATAGCAAGAGGCTTTGCATTTGGGGGTTTTGCAGTGTCGTAGCAGTAGATGAAGGAGTACCTAGCAGCTTCTTAATTACTAATTGTGAGGTTTTAAATGTTGCAAATCAATGAAATAATATAGAGCTTCATGCTGAACCATTATTCAGAGTTACTAGAGCTTCTATGACACAGCTCTTTCCTCTTACAGGATGAAAAGCTAACAAAAGAGGAGATATTGGAGAACTGGAACATGTTTGTCGGAAGCCAAGCTACCAATTATGGGGAAGATCTCACAAAAAATCACGATGAGCTTTGATGCACACCCAGCATAACATGGCAGACTGTCATAGGCTTTCTTTTACTGTCTTGGATGGTTGCTACGGTTGTCTCATGTATAGCAGTCGTGTCCCCCAAAAAGCAAGTGTATAACCTCAGATTGGGGGTAAAGTTGGTTTTCACTCAATATTTACTGGAAAATAGTCATTACTTCAGCAAGATTTCTCTCCAAGCACATTAAAATCTTGGTCAATCACAATGCTCTATGGGGATACATTGCTAAAATATGACTTTTTAGCTTTTTCCATTAAATTTAAACTAAAGGGGAATAAAATTTGAAAAAGCCCTATTATTTAGAAGTCGGGTGGGTTGGCAGCCGCAGTATATAAAGTATGTAAAGTGACCGCTATGTATTTTAACTGCACATTTTTTAATTTGTCATTATCAAATAGTTGATGAGGGAAAATTCTGATGTCGTCCTCCATAGGCTTATTTCAGAACAAGTCTCGTACTTCAGATTCTTCTTTCTTGACTTTGTACGCTGAGCTGTTACTGTAAATGGTATATAAAACCTCTGTGCATTTTTCTGTACAGACCTGCTAATGTGCACAACAAATCCACATCTTGGTTTTTTGTTTTTGTTTTTACAATAAGAAACAATCAAGAAAGAATGTGAAAAGAAAGGAATTTTAGAGATAGGGAAAAGATGAATGTCAGGCATTTGAAGAACTATAGGAAAATGATGAATGCATTATTGTACTTGAGAAAATATCTTTATGTAAAAGAGGTAGGTCTGATCTTTGAAAAAGTGAATATAAATACAGTCTGTTTCCTCACTGATCGTTGATAGGAATGTGGAGTGGGATCCTAGGGAAGCCTGCTTATTGGGGTGCTGGAACTGTAGAATATAGTCCCGATGATTCCACAACCCTCGGACCTATCCCGGGGACCACTTACACTGTGGAATTAGAACAAGATGATGTTCCAAGCCATTGGCAGAATTGGAAGAAGCAACTTCTACAGGTCGAAATGCCTTATAAGTAGAAAGTAAATGAAATAAAGGATCCCTCCGAGGATTTTTTACTGTGTCCTGTGGTGTTTGACTTCACGTGTACTGTGACGTTATCATTCATACAGAATTAAATGGATTGGATCATATGAGTAAGATTATAAAGGGTCTGGGTTTTTAAAGTCCAAGTACTAGAATGTTCGGAATATCCTCGTATTTACTGATTTAATAAATATTTACTGATAATCCAGAATCATATTTCCTTCTCTATGCCAGTTAGGGAATCTACTGGTCATTTTAACGAAGATCTTTTTGAAATTGGAAGAAGATTCAGACTTCTTACCAAGCCCTCTGAGACCCTACAGGATCTGGTCACTTCCTGCCCCATCGGCATCATCTCAAACACTCTTCCTTTTGCCTCCTATAGCCAGCCCCACTGACTTTGTTTCTGGTCCTCAAACATGCCCAGTTCATTCCTAGGTTGAACCCTTTGCACTTGCTGCTCCCTCAGACTCAGAAAACCATCTCCCGCATCCTCCGGTAGCTCGAACGGTAGCTCTTCAATGGGGCCTTCCAAACTCCTCCTTTTATAGTGTAGTCATGCACTGACAGGGTTATGTTCGGAGAAATGTGTCATCAGGACTTTCTTTGCTGTGCAAACATCGGTGTGCACTTACACACACCTAGATGGTATAGCCTACTACACATAGTCATGCACCGACAGGGTTATGTTCGGAGAAATGTGTCATCAGGCACTTTCTTTGCTGTGCAAACATCGGCGTGCACTTACACCTAGATGGTATAGCCTATTACACATCTAGACTATGTGGTATACCGTCGTCCTGTATGGTCACTGCTGACAGGTTATGTGACACATGGCTATACCCATTCCAGTCCCTGTCTCATGTCCCAGTTTTATTTTCTCTTGGTACATACTACCATTTGCATTTGTTTCCTAGGGCCGCCATGCAAACTCCCACAAAGTGGATGACTTGCTTTCTCACAGTTCTAGAGGCAGAGCTTGCATCGCCATGCAAACTCCCACAAAGTGAATGACTTACAACAGAAGAAACTTGCTTTCTCACAGTTCTAGAGGCAGAGCTTGCAATCAAAGAAGCTCTGGACGAGAATCCCTCCTGGCTGCTTCCAGCTTCTGGTGACTCCAGGCACTCCTTGTCTGTGTCTACCATCACTCCAGTCTCTGCCACCGCCTTATGGTCTTTTCTACCTCCGAGTGTCTCTCCTCTGTATCTCTTATAAGCACATTTGTCATTGGATTTAAGTCCCATGTGAATAATCCAGAATCATCTCATCCTGAAACCCTTAAATTAATCACATCTGCAGAGACTTTTTCCAAGGTCACATTTACAAGTTCCAGAGGTTAAAAAGTCAGATGTGTCTTTTGAGGTAATTCAACCAACTATACCATCTGAAATTATCTTGTCTATACATTTGTCTGTCTTCCCCAAGCTAGAATATAAGCTCTGTGAAAGCAATAGTCTGGCTGTCTTACTTCCTGCTATTTCCCAGGACCCAGGACCTGGAGTGTCGCCTACAATAAGTACTCTTAATTTTTGCTAAATGAATGAGAAGTGGTTAATTTTAATCAAAAAGAATATTCTTCATGAAAAAATTCTGGAAAAAATAAACAGTGAACATTTGCTGAATGGGAAGTAATTTTTCCCAAGATTCCACAGTGATTAAATAAATGGCAGGGAAAAAACTCAAATCCAGATGTTCCTAGCTCCAAAATCTCTGCTGTTTAGCACTGAGTTTTACTGCTCCAAATCTCCAGATCTGATACATGTTTTATTTTTTTGCTCGCCCTCAGTATATGATTATGTGGTCAGGAAATGAGAATAACTCCTCTTACCTAGAAGTGAGCTGACACCTTTTTTCTTTAAGCAATGAAAACCTGCCTTTTAAAAAATGAAGAAATAATATTGTGTAACCTAATTATAAGCATAACACTTTTAAAAGGTGCTAACATTTTTTCCTCCAAAGGGAATACTGATTGATTTATTTAGTTACACACAGTAAGATATTAAATATATTTTGAGCACTAAGTTTTTTCTTTCAAGTCAATGCACATAAAAGAACCCTCAAAGAGACTTGTGCTTCTGGGGCTGAATTTAACACTATTTAAGGAAAGAAAACCTTAGCTAGGGGACATAACTGTTAACATGGTGATTTGTAAAGCCTTAGATTTCTAATAGGGTCTGACTGTCTCAAGGAAAACATATTTTGTTTCTAGGTAACATTTCAAGCCTGATTATGAACAAATGCTATAAATTGATCTGTAATGGGAAATACTGTAATGTCACAAAGCATTATTTATATGCTTAATGTGACTGAAAGCACTAATTGCTAGGAGCCAAAATCTGTCCAAGTAAAACATGAACACACATTTTGTACCTCGTCTTTTACTGTAGGTTTTCGAATGAATTTGAGTGTAACAAAAATGTAGTTAGAAAGTCAGCAACACCTGAAGGTTTTCTTCACCTGCTTGAATTACTGTAGTTGTTTTTTGTTAGCAAAGGCACAAATCATGTCTGCTCAGAAGCGCCCAGAAAACAGTAGAACATCTTTGGAGTGAAGTAGTGAATGACTGACTGGATTTTTTTTTTTTAAGTCTTTCTATATTTATTTTGCCACCTTTATAATAAAATCTGGCTTCCTCCAAATACATGTGATTAGATTTGGTTCTCTTTGTAGTCTTAAAACTGAGTTTATGTAGTGCTAGAATGAACGCCACAGCGTTCACTGCTTTGGCTCACACTGAAGTATTAAAAATTTGAGCAGTGCAAAGATTGTGCCATCAGTACTTAAACTCATGAGATTTACATGAATTTGGGGCTTTTTCCAAAGAATCTACCTGCACTCTCAATTCTGATCAGTTCTGGGGCCCAGGCCTGGCAACACAGACCCTAGGTATAATGTATCCCACCCTTCCATGACCTTCAGGTAACTCTGATTTTTCTCATAAAATAGAACACAGTGTCTGATTCCCCCACAGAAGCACATGAAACGAAATGAATATCAGGACTGGTTACTTTCCTACCTAGAAGTTTACGTAGTGGCAGGACATCAGCATTTCTTTTACTCCCACAATAAATACTAATATAATAATATAAATACTAAATAAATATGCCAAGCACTTACATACATTTCTCATGTAACCTTCACAACAACCCTATGAAATTGGTCCTTGTAAGAAAAAGGGTAAACTGCGTGATGCTGCTGTAACAAACAACCCTACCAAATCAGTGATTTAAAGCAACAGAGATTTAATTTTTGCTTTTATAAAGTCTGCTGTGATTCTGGGTACTTGTCCATGGGCAGCTGTGGTGTGGGGGTTTAGCTGTGGGTCTCCACATCCACCCATGCCCATTGAAGAATCAAGTACAGGCAAGCAAATGTGGTCACTCCTGAAAATAACCTATGTCACCCGTGTTCACTTCCATTGGTCGAAGCAAGTCACATTACCACATCTAATTTGAAGGGAGCAGGAAGTACAATCCTACTGTTGCTCAGAGGGGAGATGTCGAAAACCTTAGTGAATAGCACTTCTGGTACCTGGTGATAACTGTACTGTTTTTTCCCATTTTGCAGGTGAGAGAATTATAAAGGGAAATAATGCCCAAAATTATACAACTCATAAATTAGGTGATTATATAACCGTCTAGACCAGGATAGCTTTGCCAGCGAACGGGAGCAGTTTTCATCAATACTTTCCCACATCCCGGGCAACCTGCCCTGCCCACTCTGGGATTTAGAGACCCACTCATTTCCTCTTCTGGCTGGGATCTTCCTCAGGGTTGAGTGAGGAGTCTGTGGGCCAGAGGGCTTTGCCCATTCAGAGCCAAGGCCTTTGCTTCTAGATTATGCTCCAAGTCCCTGCAACATCCCAGAATTCCCTGCCCAAGTAACACCAAGCCTTTTCCAGACACTGCGTGTGCAGCCTCCAGGTGGATCTTCCAAAGGGCAAACAAAGCCACAGATATAAACACACCTAGGCCCAAAGGACACAAGGGGCAGCTGGTAGACTCAGTTTAAACATGCAGGCTGGGATGTCCACACACACGTACACAGAGCCCCTTGTAGGAAGAAAGTGGTGGAGTGACCCACAGACTATTTTCCATTTTTATTCTTACCCTGGGGCCCACAAGTTTTAGGGGTGAGCCTGCCATGATGCCAGGACAACCAGGACCGTCCTGGGCAAATTGGAACATGTGGTTCCCCTCTTTAGAAATGGCAGGTTCAGGAGACAAATCCAGGAGGATCCCACCCTCTTATCCGTCCCACTGTGTTGCCTGAAATTTAAGAGTCTTGGTGAAACTACCGCTGGTATTACTACAACCTGAAAAATTCATGGTGACGCATGTGGTCGTTTGAAGATTCAGGACCACAGGGATGAGATGCAGAGTTGCTGGCCTGGAAAGAAGGGTCCAAAGGCCTGGCTGGATTCGAGTTCTAGCCCTGCCACATTGGGGCTCTATGACCTTGGCAGGCTACCTTCCTCCTAAAGAGCCTGTTCTGACTGTACAACGGGGACAATGATGATGATGATGATGATGATGATGATGATGATGATGATGATACTGTACTCTCAGAGTAGCCACAAAGATGAGGTGAGATAATGCACATGCAAGAATGACAGGGGCCAAAACATGAGACACAAATAAAAGTTCTCCCTGGTGACCTTGCTCAGCAGGTCAAGTGCCAGAGGTCAGATAAATCAATGCCTACAAACCCTAGGCTGCTGGTTAATGGTCTTTCTGAGTCTCAGAATTATTGTGTGAAGTGTTTTTAAAACCTCGAAATTCATCTATTACTAGGTGAAATTGAGTGGATTAAATGACAAAGGAATAGAATTTAACATTGTTTTATTCACGGTAACGGTATTCAAAAGCTATTTATATGTGGCAGGGATTCGAAACTAATTCAGAAAAAGTAGATTGAGAGTCTCTGTGTATTCGGACAACATTCGGGGATCCAAGTGGAAAAGGGTCTTTTCTTTCAGGGTCTTATCTCCAGAGGGAAACTGAGGCCCGGAGAGATTAAACCGGCAGTTTTCCC